TCTTCAAGTCGTAACTTTTCAATTCTAATGAATACTTCAGTTAGAATGCTTTTAATTTGTGTGTGAATTATCACGGGCACAGACGGGTAACAGGTGGACGGGTATGGGTTTAACTTTGATATATTCACGGGTTATCGGGTGGGTGCGGTGCTGTACTGTGTGGGTGCGGGTCTTCAAAAATAGACCCGTATTGGACTGAGTCACATTTAAGACAGTAAAAATTACATACAGAGCCTTTAAGGGTGCGTTCACACTTGTCCTGGTTTAGTCCTGGTTTAGTCCTGGTCTAGTCCTGGTCTAGTCCTGGTCTAGTCCTGGTTTAGTCCTGGTCTAGTCCTAGTCTAGTCCTAGTCTAGTCCTGGTCTAGTCCTGGTCTAGTCCTGGTCTAGTCCTGGTTTAGTCCTGGTCTAGTCCTAGTCTAGTCCTGGTCTAGTCCTGGTCTAGTCCTGGTCTAGTCCTGGTCTAGTCCTGGTCTAGTCTCGGTCCAGTCTAATATCATTTCTGTGTGAAAGTGTAAATATGCCAAAACTCTCCCTGATTTGAATTAGTAGAAATTCATGCATAATGTTTTAATTTCAAATTGAACTCGTGAGTCAATTGCACTATTGTTGTTCACACAAATGCTCTTGACCCTTTTTATCTTTGTGCGTTTGTTGTGATTCTTAATTCTACTTTTCTAAAAGGGTGGAATAAATTTCACTTTTAAAAAGGGACGATAATTGATGGCTTTCATTCCCAAAAGTGAGTACAATTATTCCAAAATGTGATGTTTGAAAAGCTCTTTACTTTTTTGGGGCTGGTTGAATCATTTTGATGACAAAGTGGCATGACACCTTAATAAGTGGTTTGTGGGTTCATCGTGTTTTCAATATTGTTGTTGTTTTCCACCAAAATGATAAGTGATTTTGTGAAAGACTTTTGGAAAACATTGTAAACCACATTCAGCTGAGTGTACTTGGATCACATCTAGGAGAAAATAAGCAAGATTTTTTATTTTCTTCGTCCACTTCCATTTTGTATTCATAATGTTTGTCCTAGGCTTTATAACAGACAATCATTTTAGTTGTCATGGTGAAATAACGATGCTTGTGTAGTTGGATTTTTTAAAAGGTTCTACTATTTGTAGACCCATTTACGCTGGTTGTCACTTTTCAGACTAAACTCTCTAAATTATGTGCATTCTTTGTACATTTTTTAGTTTACAATGTCCCATAATATACTCCCAGTGCAGTGCATGGTTCTTGGTTGCTTACATTTTACTTCAGGGTTAGATCATTTTTCAAGTTTTTTGCTTAGAAATAAACTTTGAGTGTTATCATTGATTTTGCAGCCAAAAGTGACTATAAAGCAATAGCACTTGGTTAATGTTTACACGGTGAAAATGTCATTGTTTAACTTTGTAAAGACGTATTTCAGAAAAGCCCAGAAAGTTTGCGAAAAGGTACATTTTATAACTTTTCTGGTGGAGAGTCTGTCACCTTCTTGTCTCCGTGGAAATATGTCTGTGTTGTGTGCAAAGTTCCACAGTACAGCATTATAACTGTATATCATTTATTCAATTAAATAAGGTTTTGATGCTAAAGAAATATACTGAAAAATAGGCATTTTTACGATGGGCGGGGCTTAGGGGTGTGCAAAAATATCAAAATATCGATATATCATATCGCTTAATGTGATGATACCGTATTGATATCGTGAGCTTCTGTATCGATATATTGTGTTTTGTGGTATATTTTACTAAATTATGTTGTTACAGCGCTACAATTTTGCTGTTTTTCAGTGGAAGAAATCGTGTTTATGCAACACATTTGACATTTCTACTGTTTTGATTATTAAAATGGGTGTGTTTCATATTCACTTTGCACAAGAAGTGGTTTAATAAAAACTTTTAGTATTGATCTGTATCGGATTTGATTTGATATATATCATCGAATCAAAAGTGCACCGTATCGAGGTATGTATCGTATCGTAGCCGATGTATCGAGATATGTATCGTATTGGCTACTTCTTAATGATACTCAGCTTTAGCAGGACGGCCTCTCCACAGATCTTAACTTAACATGACTCGGTAGTAATCACCTGCTTGTCTCTATGGCGATAGATATGCTTAAAGCCATACTGTAGAACATGTCTGCAATAAGCTAGGGATCTGTACATCGTGCATAGACTGCTATTACTGTGTTGCAATTTTCTCACATTGATTCCAGGTCAAATGATGCCACCTTACTGTTCTCAATGTTCCTGATTGTCTTTTCTCTCTTGGTGACCTCTGATGTGCAGTTCAGCCGCTCCGATCCTTGTCTGAAAAGATGTTTATATGAATCTCTAACTGCCTCCGTGCTCCTCGTCATTCAGGCCGGTGTTTATGCTACTTGATCATTTTTTATTCTTGCTATAAACAAAAGAAGCCGAGCCAGGGTTCTCACATGCAGCACAGGGATGTTGTAAGTTATAAGGACTTGGTGAGTGTGATCCAAGCATAGACTGTATATATGAATGTAGTTAGCCCACTAGCTGCCACGTTACATATAGGATTTTTTATTTTTTTTATTTTTTCCCGTACTAGAATAAAGTGTAATTGCTTGGTAGTGGTTCTGGTAACGGTTTTCTTCTTCCTTGGGGGGCGTGACAAAATAATTGAAGCACTGGATTGCATCAATTTCACTTTCTATTCAAAAAATGTCACCCCTTACTCTTTAACTGCTGCTTTCAGTTTCATCAATTACATTTTAAAGTGTTCATATTAACCCGCTCTACATTATAATCCTGTTTTTATTTCGCTATTTTGTCCGTAATTTAAGATAACATTAATAGAAGATAAATCAGGTGCCTTCTTTCCGTGAGGTCGCTCCCACAAGCATTAGCAATAGGAGGGGGCGTTTCCTTCAACAGCCTCGCTCCGGATTGGCTCTTTGGTTGCCATGATACTCACGGTTGGTTAATCCGTATATCATTTGTTTATTCATTTTTCAAAAATAAAATCAAAAATAAGAAAATGAAAAAAACAACACAATTTTCTTCATTATTTGTCCAAATACCAAAATGAAAAAAAAGGATAATGATTTATTTTTTCTGTTTTCTATTTTGTGTTTTAATGAATAATGGAAAAAATGGATAACGGCCGTTTCCCGTTGCTTTGACTTAAACTGTGATGCCGGACTTTTGTACCGCATACGGACTGAACCAGGACTGATCTCAGGACTAAAACAGGACTAAACCGGTCTCAGTCCTGGTCTCAGTCCTGGTCTCAATCCTGGTCTGGTCCTGGTCTGGTCCTGGTCTCAATACCGGTCTCAGTCCTGGTCTGGTCCCAGTCTCAGTCCTGGTTAGGTCCCGGTCTCAGTCCCAGTCTGGTCTCCGTTTCAGTCCTGGTCCGGTCCTGGTCTGGTCCCGGTCTCAGGCCTGATCATCGGACAGTCTATATGGGTGCACCTCCAGACCCATCCCAACACTCAGTCCTGTTTAGTCCTGATTTAGTCCTGTTTTAGTCCTGTTTTAGTCCTGTTTTAGTCCTGTTTTAGTTCTGGTTCAGTCCTGGTTCAGTCTGTATGCGGCATAAAAATCCGGCATCGCGGTTTAAGTCATGGAAATGGGAAATTATTCATTTAAATGCAAAATCGAAAACTGAAAAAACAAATCTTTTTCTGTTTTTTCATTTTGATTTTAGAGACAAATAATGAAGAAAATTTTTTTTTTTTTTTTTTTTTTTTTTATTTTATTTTGGAAACGAATGAATGAATGATACAGGGATTACTGTTAGTCTCGATGAGCTTCATTTGAGTGAAGCCGAACACTCTGGGTGACATCACACTACCTTAGTCCACTTCAATAAAGAGTGTATGGATCCAAATGACCAATGGCTTTACATATGGTTGCCTTGAAATGTGCACTATGAGATTACACCACCTACTTGTCCTGGGAAATGTTATTGTTCTGGCTAGATAATGTAAAAGTATAATGCCAAACTTTCCTCTTGATGCAGACAATCAAGGGATGCCTAATGTATGTTTTTCAAGGTATTTTTTGCAATGTAAACGCATCTAATTGAATAAATGCAAGATGAGTTTATTGACAAACTGTGAAACATTCCAGGCAGAGTTATGGCATCTCCATGTCCCATTAAAAAAGTAGTCCATCTTTAAAAACAACTAATAAATAGTCACCTCCCACAATTGTGTAACCTTATGTTAGGTCACTCTCTGCAATATTTATCACAACTGTAGTAAAAGATACGACGCTGTAAGGAATACTAGGCCACAATGCACTCTGGTCCTACTACCGGATGACCATTATAGATGCTTATTTTCTTATCTAAACATGCACTAGAGCTTTGTCTCTACGTTTGATCATTTTCCATCTTGTGTTGACTTGTGGCGTCCCTGAGCCCTTTGCAGTGTTGTCCATCCTCCCACTCCACACAGCGGAGCCCTGTCCGCCCACAAGCTCTACACTGGAGTGGACATCCTATCTCATAAGTCTCCTGGCCTGACCTTTTGATTGTAGGCTGACAGGTTATTTAAGCGTTTTCCTGGATCGAGTGCAGCTGTAGCATATGTTGTGCGAGAAAATTGCAAGTGTGAATTAGGTGAATTCTTGGACTGAATCATGCAATATTTTGTAGTATCTTTCATGTGGATTCTGAGTTACAATCTAAAGTCAGAATAAGTTAAGCTGGTTGTATAATAAGACATAGTGTTGGTCTAAAAAAAAAAACAATAGAAGACAAGACAATAGAATTTTTTTTTTTTTCAACACAAAATAGCAGTACTGTCTTTATAATATCATTTGGCATTAGCAAGACTTTTTCAAAAGCTGGACAGCTGGAAAGATTAAAGTTTTGTTTCCAGAATTGATGCTAAATGAGTATTGATAAGCATATTTTGGGTGTTGTTTGCTCCCAAATGAGCGCTTTCTCATACTCATTTAATGTTTTCTTTTACTGTTCTGACCTATCAAATAAAGGAAAATCATGCTAATTATTTGTATTTTTCTATCCACAGCCTTCATTCGAGCCCCCATCCCCATGGCGGTGGTGAGGAGGGAGTTGTCCTGTGAATCGTACCCCATCGAGCTGCGGTGCCCGGGCACTGACGTCATCATGATCGAGAGCGCCAACTACGGGCGAACTGACGACAAGATCTGCGACGCCGATCCAGCGCAGATGGAGAACACGCGCTGCTACCTCCCGGACGCTTACAAGATCATGTCACAAAGGTAGGAGTGATATTTAAAAGTGATGTGTAAAGTATTTCAAGCTGAATGTTGTCATGTTGTAGTCGAGTTAAAGAAGATCTATTGTGCTTGTGTTTGCTATAGTGACATCCATGGCTCATTATGTTATAATTTAGACATATTAAATCGTGATGTCCATCTAAAACGATAAAAGAAACGTCACCTGATTTCTGTGTTAGAAAACTGCAGTGTCTTGAAAATAAGCAATTATAGATTCCTCAAACATGCACAACTCTCTCCAAATACAACTTCAGGTGAGTAAATAGCGTTGTCATTGTTTAGCAAGTCTCAAGTAAGTCTTTGACCTCAAGTCAAATACAGACAAGTCACAGTCAAGTCAAAGTCGTCTGCTTTTAAATCTAAGTACCAAATATAGCTTAGATTTTTTGCAGTTTATATGAATTTTAAACTAAATTGTTCTTAAAAGGTCATGATATATTTAATTATAAGTATGTATATAGTTGTAGAAATGCTAATTTTTCCTTTTAAATGTCCTGACAAGATCTTAGTGTGAATCATTCCGGTCAGAACAGAAAGAATTATGATTTAAAAGTGCTTAATAACACATATTTTTAGGAGAAGCATCAAGTCTTGTCAAGTCACAGGCCTCAAGTCTCGAGTCATTGACATTCAAGTCCAAGTCGAGTTCCAAGTCTTAGTCCATTTTATCAAGTCAAGTCTCAAGTCCTAAAAATAGTGACTCAAATCTAACTCGAGTCCAAGTCACGATATGCAAGTCCCACCTCTGGTAAATGGTGAGGGGAAAGAACTATAATTTGGTTAAAACCTCAGAAAAGTCAATTTTGCATAATAGGTCCAATTTAAAGTTAAGGTTTTACAGTTAAATTTAAAATGTCCACAACAACTAGCATGCTAAGAACACACTAGCATTACATCCAGGTTGGCAGCTGACAGCACTCGACTATAGATAGACAAAAATCGAGGACAGCTGCTTTAAGTCTTGTCCTTGGAAACTGCAAATAAGCCTCTCCTGCAAATTCAGTTGGAGTAATTCTGTTAATCTAAGTCCTATAAATAATGGAGTTCATACACGATAAATAAGACCATTAATATGCTGGCTTTTAATGCATTTTGTCTGGTGCCATTTTTCCACAATAACAGGATGTACTGCAGGCATAATGCGCTTATTGTAAACTGTTAAGGATTCATTACTTGAAGCACCCAAATGAAGCATAAACACATTTAAAATACACACTTTAGCTGTCTCTGATTCGCACCAGTTGATGAATTTACCCTGAAGGAGAAAAATCAATGCATTCTAGAAATAATTCCTTCTTGGAGTACAAAATAGTTTGCTTTTCGCGGTTTTGTTTTCACTTTTTAGAGTTATTACCCTGTGGCGCATATACCAGGACACAAGCCCAATTTGTCCAGGCGAGACAGGGGCTAGTGTGACTATGCTGGGAGTAATGTGGACATTAACGTAATCTATAGCCAACTGTTGGTGTCTTAAACTGTGTAGGAAATGTGTAGGAGATTTGTGCTGCACGTTTTGACTCTTATATTGACTTAATGTAGCACTTGATGCACAAATGGGGTTTAGTTTCTTGGATGTTATTTTCAGTGAGTTGGATTTTATCAAAAATACAATACCAGATGTCTCACTTATTTTCACTTTTCTTGGAGTTGGAGTATCCGATCGCTTTTGGTCTCCATGGAGATGTTATTGCTTTGCCGAGAATGTTCCACAGCCTGGCATTAAACTTCTGTAGTTGCACAGAGACAAGAAAATGACGCTACCAGGGCAAAGATCAGGTCAAATCTGTGTAGAAGCAACCCCACTCACAGTAATACATGTTTTTCAAGGCATTTTAAGAATAAAAACTTCTGTAATTGAATAAATACAAGGTAAATATATTTAAAGGCAGTTTTGGAATGTTACACAGTAAAAGTTATAATGTAACAAAGTAAAAGTTGGAATGTAACAAAGTAAAAGTAGTAAAGTGCTGTATTTATCCAATCCAATACACTTTAATTATATAGGACATTTCACAAACAACAGCAACAACAATAATAAAATGATAAAATAAACGCTCAGATTTAATCATACTAGTCTTAAAATAATGAAACCAGTAAAATAAAATAAGAGCAAGTTTTAAGTAAAAATCTTTACTTTTACTTCACTACATTTGAGTAGCTGTACTGTAAAGTACAAAAAGTTAAAGTATTTATATTTATTCTGAAAAGGATGAGTTTATTTCTAATGTTCATACTAGTTTGAACAAACAAAAATATACAAATAAAAATGGCTAGGAAAAAAAAATTCTCTTGAGCTAATGGCTTCAAGAACAAATTCAGAACAAAACTGTATCAAAACTACAACATGTGAAGCTATATTAGAACTTAAAATCTGCACAAAATACTTTTACTTAAGTAAATTTCTTAACGTAATACTTTTACTCTTACTTGATGTTTTTTTTTTTTTTTTTTTGCTTTGATATCTGTACTTTTACATAAGTAACAAAGTCGAGTACTTCTTCTGTTTATGTTTAAAGGTATAGTGGAACCAGCAAAGCAATAACATATCCATGGAGACATGAAGGCAGCATGGATTTAAAACACAGCAAGCATCTTACTATTTCACTCCAAAGCTGCAAACTAAAAAAAAAAAAAAAAACATTTTAGTGTAGCTATTGAGATAATCAGCTGTGAGAAAAGTACATGATGAGGACAAAAATATTAGTTTGAAACATGTTGTTGGATAATGGATGCCCCCTGTGGTTCCCTTGTTCTGTAGCCACCCACTCTCTGAAAACTCTGCAGGAAAGAATCAAGGGGCGCTGCTACTGTCAACAACAACATCAACTACTTTTTAAAGAAGCATCATTCTAATATATTTTATTCTAAGTGACAGAATGTTAGCATTGCTCCAAACCACATGCTTCTGCAGACAGAGAATTGGCTGTGGCTGTCTCTAAATTCTTATGTATGTAGCTATAATGGTATTACGCTGTTTTCTGATATATGTTATAATGTTGTTTGCTTGTCTTAAAAAACTTAAACTCCATACACCTTCACTAGAATCATTTGGATAATTTCAGCCCCGGGTATTGCATATATCACCTAGTGCCTCCACACAATTTCATTTCTCTCTAGCGACTAGGTCAGAAATCGGAATACACTAGTCTGTTCGCAAAAACCTCGGAAGTATGAGTTCGGGCACCAGCCAATCAGCGAAGAGTCATACATTCTGTGTTGGCAACGATTCCCAAGATCAAGGATTTAAAGCTGGAACAAAAAGAATGTTTAGTGAAGTTTATCAAGGAGAAAGGCGTTATTGTCCTTCTTCCTACAGGATTTGGGAAAAGCTTAATATACCAGTTAGCCCCGTTAGCAGTACATTACATACGACACGACCAAATAGCAGCGACTGGTTAAATAAAAAAAAGTACCCGCCTACCATCGAGCGAACGAATTCCAACGCTGCAAGGTCAGACAGTTTCCACAAAGTGAAACCCGTTGATGAATCAGGCTAGCATATCTCTACAGAACAAAAGGGAAAATGTAGTTGTTATCTTGAGACTACCACTACATGACATCACAAGGTGGTACAGTGCATTTTGAGCTTTGGAGCTGTAGACAGAGTAATAATGTGTGAATGAAACAAAACACAACTCCAGGTATTTTTTTCATGAAGTAACAACATTCTAATGTGGCAATTTAGTGTAATAGGAGCTTTTAAATGTAGCTTAAATATCTGTTGTGATGGTTGTAATCGGGGACGTGGTTCAATTTTTCTTCATTTGTGCATGATTTTAGATGCCAGAAGTAGTTAAGAGAATCCAGTGATATTCATAATAGTTGCACAAAAGCTAAACATTAGCATGCATAGGTTAGCGCGACAAATGAAGGCCGCCGCCAACAAGTCCATTGTGGAGATGTCACTGCGGTTGCTAGGCACCTGTGGCTAAGCTCATTATGGCTGTAAAGAAAACAAGGACCCAACAGAACTCACCAATTTAAATCAAAGACTTTTCATTACTCTAAAAGTCACCCTGGGAGGGAGTTTTCTTAAGCGTAAACTCATGATATGCACTGAACCGGCTGCTGAAATTACCATATTGTGGGGGTAAAGGAGCAACAAAAACTGAAAAGTCATTGACAAAACACTGACAGAATATTAAAATTGACAAAAAATAGATAGGATGCTCTGTCTTAAAGGTGCACCATGTATCTTTTTTGGTAGGGGGCTGGCCACAAGATTGTTTCTATGAACATATTATTTTGCCTGAAAGGTTTTCCTTGGGATAGAGGGTCACATGTTTCATCAAAAGACAGGACAACACAACAACAAAAACACTATACAAACATCACCATAGAACATAAATAAATAAGAGACCAAGTATGACCACGAGTGACACACCAACAAGACCTTTAAGTCACTCTTTACAGACAAACCCTTCGCAATCTTGTATTCTATTAGTAACTGTACACTCCCTAAGCGTATGTGCAGTTTTGAGTGCACACTCCCTTGACCTATGAACAGTTTTGATTGCACACGCCCTTGACCTATGATCAGTTTTGATTGCACATTCCCTTGATCTATGAGCAGTTTTGATTGCACTTTCCCTAAGCCTTTTACTTTTATTTTTTAGCTGCAGTATCTGAGTTTAACAGATTAACAGCTAATGACATAAAAGAATGTTTGAATCTGTTCAGTTTACAGTTTGGGACCCTGAACCTTCTGCCTGACAGCATCAGCTCAAACTGACTGAAGAACATAGGTTGGCATTGAACTTATCCATGTTGCATTTATTCAATTACAAGTGTTTTACTGCTCACAAATACATCTATTTCTACAGTTAGTGAGCTCACCTCTTCACAGATCTGACCTGTAACTTGGCCTGTAAACATTATGGGCTTGTTAGTGGAAATAAAGAAGCCATACTGTGTAACATTCTAGACCATGGAAAAAAATAATAATCAAAATTCAAATTGAAAAAGCAAAATGAAAATTGGTA